ACGATGTGAAATTTCGGGGTTTCAAACCCTCATGACATCATTTACATCAATTACTCACCTCAAGACGGTCAAAGTCTAGTTCGTTATGCCCTTGCCTCACAAATTACCCTCATCGTGCGACGAATCTGCCCAAAATCACAACGAATATGTCGCATTATGCTAAAGAGACAATACCCAATCGAAAGCAATCGAAAAATATCAAAATTCACGAATTTGACAAAACCCGAGCCTCGGGCCTACGTCTCGAAAAATCAGAAAATTAACATCACCGGATTCCTTGTCTCGCCACGAGTCTATACATACCAAGAACTCCCAAATCCGAGTTCAAATGACCTATCAAATCCTAATTGTTTGGTTTCAAAATTCAAGCCCTAGTTCTTGATTTGTAGGTTTATATTAGGTAGAATTCACAATAAAAACGAGTTCTAAGTCCAAGAAACTTACCTCAAGTCGTTCCCCCTTGAATCCCTCTTTAATCTCCACCAAGAAGGTCTCAAAATGATCAACCATGAAGGAAAAATGACCCAAAATCGCGGATGATTTGTTTTGTAAACTCAAATTTTTCGAAAGTACTGTTCACCCGCGTTGTTACTGTTCACGCGCGTAGTCACTGTTCACCCGCGCGGTTACTGTTCACGCTGCTAAAAAAAATATAGCAGCAGCCAAAGAAATTGCAGCACTTTTCTTTTTACTAAAATGGCTCTAACTCCATCATACGAACTCGGAATTCGATGATTCTTGTTTCTATGAGTCACAAATAATGATACGAACATAGTCCTTCAATCGAAACTCAATTCGAAGCTCGTTTGCTCAGTCCGATATCCATTTCGCTCGTTAAATAATTAACTCATGTTTCGTGTCAAAAACTCAATCGCGACTTGATGAATTAGACCAAACTTTCCAGATCTCTCCTATAATTCATTATTTAAATTCTAGAAATCTCGAAATAAAATTTCGATCTCTAGAACTAAAAATGAACCTTTGGATCATTACATGCTTATGCTCAAACGACAAAAATCTTCCAAAAACTCTTCCAAAACTTATCCGAGCCTCATGAGACCCCGACCAAACATGCCAACATAATTCATAACATTATTCAAACCTCTTCCAATCATCAAAACACCTCAAACAACATCAAATTACCCAAAACTCATCGAATTCAAGCATAATTTTCTAAAAACTTCCGAAATACACTTTCGATCAAAAACCCAACCAAACCACATCCGAATGACCTGAAATTTTGCACACATACCCCAAATCACCTAACGAAGCTACAGCAACTCTCGGAATTCCATTCCGACTCTCGAATCAAAATATCACCTATCAACCGGAATTCGCCAAAATACTAACTTCGCCAATTCAAGCCTAATTCTACACCGGACCTCCAAAATTACTTCCGATCACACTCCGAAGTCACAAATCATCCCCCGAAACTAACCGAATCATCGGGATTCAAATCCGAGCCCCCTAACACATAAGTCAACGTCTGGTTGACTTTTCCAAAACAAACCTTCCTTAAAGAGACTAAGTGTCTCATTTCTACTAAACCAATCCAAATCAACTCGTTCACACCCAACACTGATAATGAAACATAAAGAAATAGGAAATGGGGAAAACGGGACGGTAACTCACGAGACGACGGGTCAGGTCGTCACAAGTTCATTTAGGCATATCATCAAATATCCTCGGTAAATCAGCGTATAAATCCGATAAAGTTACCAATGCATGCGCAAATCCAATAAGACCACTATCAGAAAGAAAGAAACTATCAAATACCCACTAAAACCACATTAGCTACAACAGAGTACATAAAAAAAGCAAGAATAGAGAATACTTCACCAGAATTTAACAAAATAAAGCACACACCAGAGACACTTCGAAATCAAATTGAGCAATTTTAAAAAAAAAAATCTCAATAAACGATGCATCGATGTGCAACAATTGCCAATACACCAAGCGAGAGGAGAAAGAGATTCAAATGAAAATCACAGAGAAGAGCATAGCAGTATCACCGGCGAAGGAGGATGCAGTAATGTTAAGGAGAAAATTTTGTCAAGAAATTGAGAAAGGATGGGAGAGAAGTAGGAGGTGGAAAATACACATGTTAATAAATAGTAGTACACGCGTTTGGAGGGAGAGAAATAGACTAAAGTACACCTTGCATGCAATTCTAGGGAATCTCTATAAAATAATTAACACCTACAATAATCAGTGATGTTAAAAGGCTCACTTTACACTTTTGTCTCGGAGAATCTCGCGGCACCATCACTATTGGACGGACTCAAATTATCGGGAGTAACATCACCACTTCACCAGAAGTTTTTTATTCTCCATTTTTGGAATTGCAATGAATTGGAGACAAAGAAGTTGGCGTCTTGGCCTTTGGATTAGCAGAACTAAACTAATAAGAAGAAAGAACGAAGAGAACAAAGTTAAAAGAAATAGATAAGACACAATCAAGAAAGATACTAAGGAATGGGAGAAACAAAAAAAAATTTCAATGAAATGCAACGAATAGTTGTTACTTTTTTTTTTGGTGAATTTAGTAATGTCATTCCTACTATCCAAATAAAGGTTTTTTATTCCAAATAAAAGAAATAAAAAACTTACATCTAATACAGCCATGCAACAGAAAAATAGAGTAATATAGCATCTGTAGCAAGCTTGAGTTTGAAACCTATATTGCCGCAAAAGAACGTTTACTCTCCCACTACACTCCCTTGTTTGAACATTATGCACAGAATTTGCGTATAAAATAATAATAGGGCAAAAACACAGATAACTGGAAAAAGAGTAAAAAAAAGAGAGTTTGAATGGAGAGGAAGGATTGATGAGGAACAATAGAGAAAAGTTATAGTTTTTACCTTGTTGACCATGATAACTACTGCTCCCAAAATCTCACCTTTAGAAGGTCAAAATAAAACATGTTGATTCTTCGAAAGAGAAAGTAACCATTCCGTCATGAATTGGACCTTTATCAACGTGCTCAATACTAATATGGCATTTCAACTGATTAGTCCAACTCTGAAGTAAAAATTTGATCGAATGCTCAAAACCCCAAGTTCAAACCCTGGGTCAAATTACTAGATTCCTTAATAAGAATATAATAAGGTAAATGAAATTTGGTACAATTAGTGACATGCATGAGCAATTTCTTGTTATAAATTTCCTTCAAAAGAATAGAAACTATCATATTATCCACCAAATCGTACAAAAAATAAAGAAAGATTACCAAAGCAGAGAGGTCCAACCAGATGATAAATAGAACAAAGATGGACCAACATTGAAAGAGTGAAGAAACAAAGAGAGAGATTGCATGAAAAAACTTACCAACGCGAGGAGCTTGATTGAAAGAGTCAAGACCAAATTAGGAGAAATGTGAGAAACTGGGAAAGAGCACCAATGGAATGAAAGAGAGAAAATAAGGGTTCAACATGGATGAATACGGATGGAGTACACGTGTCTGAGCTTAGTGAATACAATTTGACTCTATAGAAATGATCGAAATTACTAATTTAACCCTATCTAAAAGCATAATTTCAGGTTTACCCCATATTCGTCAGTTCGTCCCATCCAAGTCCCGTTTATAGTAATGCTAGTAAAGGATTTGGTAGGATGCATTAGATAAAATAATGCTTGCATTAGTTTTGTATATTAATAATATTTTGTTTGGTAAATATTTTTAACCTATGCATTAGTTATGCAAGCATTAGTTAGACATCCTATTTGGTATTATCTTATGCATAACTAATGCATTGAAAACCATGGTATTAACAATGCAATGAGTTTTAATGCATGTATTAGCTTAGTTAAAGATAAAATTGTCCTTCAAAATTTATACTTGATTAAAATATGCTAGTTATTATATTAATGCAAGTTTAAAATAATTCAAATAGTAAGAAATAAAATTATATCTCTAGTAAATAAATAAATACTTAGCATATTTAATTTTTTATAAATAAATATTTAGGTCTATTTTACAATATAGGTAGACAAATTAAATAATTTTTTAAAACTTCTTTATATAAAAATATTTCTCAACATATGTTTCTTTTAAAAAGTTTGAGTGATGGACTAGTTTTGAGGGTATTTTTGTAAACAAACAATTCTTTTAGAAATTGTGCAATGCTTTAATAGATCAAACCAAACAATGGATAAGAAATATGTCAGCATAACTAATGCAAGCATAACTAATACATGCATTACTAATACACCATATTTAGCATTATTCTTATGCACCCTACCAAACGACCCCTATATTGCATAGTGAGATTTTTTCTAAATCTTTATATAAATAGTCTATTGAATTTTCAATTTACTTATTTTAGTTGGTATAAATAGATTTTATATATATATA